TATACTATCTGTGGGGAAAGGAGTTAATAAATAAATAAAAGTGATATAATGTTTTTTGTGCAAAGATCATGTTGTTGTAGTGGGTGTGGGATGGCGTATGGTTCTTTGGTGAGTGCCGAGCAGCGTGTGGTCGGTCTCGTATTAATCGGTGGTATGGGAGAGCAAAAGAAGAAGGTGATGATAACAAAGTGGTCAGTGTTAGTGTTCAGATCATGCAGAGTAGCGTGTGACAGGTGGTCGAGCAGAGCATTTGCAGAGGATTTTGCTGCATTGAGAAGTAAAAGAATGAGTAGATGAGTGCGCAAATGTTTCTGCTGCTTCGTGCATATCAGTGCTGTTATTCCAACTCAGCGATTCACATTGGCCATACTACTTGTTGTAGCCATAAATTAGGTAGACACACCTGCCACCACCACCGCACTGGTGGAATATCCTCTACTTATGTGGGTAACTAATATTCGTGCATTTGAAAACAAGTGGTCGAAGTCCATGTTTTTACACTTGTGTATCTACGGGCAAGCAATCCTTGTGTATATGGCTCATTCAAAGAACGTAAAATCAAACAACGCTTACAGAATGTGTAATAATTTTAGCAAACTATTTCCACTTCGGTTTAAAAAGGCAAATGTCATTGTCTTCCCTCTCTTTTCGGTAAATCATCGAGTTCTATGCATTTTGGCATGTTGTATTGATGAAATATGCAAATGCAAGTTTAGTTGGCATTCCTTCCAATATATAAAATGTACAAAAGTGTAGATGATGGCACTTCGTTGATGAGAGGAATGCAAGCGAACCAGATCGGAATGAAAACCGATGCTGACTGGTGCTTTTTGAGACAGGTAAACATTTAGTCGCAATCGCACCACATATTTTGCTTGGATTCGCCATAGTAGTCTATTGCCACACAATGGATGCATTATGCTCTGTCACCTCCATCACAACTAGCCATTTCATTGTGCTTGTCTGACTGGGTGTAGCCTCATTTATCATGAAGTAGCAACAAGTTTCAACAATGGGATCAGAAATTGCTAATTACCTCCCACTGTTGAGAGCAATTTCCAAGAATTGAGAACCCAAATGAAAGGAATGGAGGAAGTGCAAACTAGGGAAGCAGAGCCGTCAGGAACCTGTGACACACCTTCGTGGATCAGTATGCAGTGCATTTTATTGCCTAATTTATATTAACTATGAGCTGCAAGCAGTCTATTTTCCGTCATTGATGAAGCATCAAAATAAAGTGCCAATGCTGTCAATTATCTGCCATTATGTAGATACTGTTATGGTCTCCTCAGCTTTTAAATGAAATGAATGCAAGTTGCGTACTTCAAATGTTTCTATTTGTAGTATTGGGTTCCCTACTTCAATTTGATGCGCACACATTGTTCCTTCGAATGCGCTGAGGATTTTTGGGATGACTTAAATAATAATGGTGACAGCTGATTCTCTGTTCATCTTTGTTTCATCTACTTATTCACTAACTGTATGCATGAGTGTGCTTTTGTACCCTGCAAATTGGGCACCACTGGGCTTAGGTTTAGGTGCTAGTGACTTTTGACTTAAAAGTTGAAAGGTGCTATTTGATTATGGCAATTGAATGAGACTGAGTTGACCGAAGGTGCGGTTGATTACAAACAGCATGAATTGAGTGGTGTGTGTATGAGTACGCTTGTGACTGTGTGTGTGTGTGTTTGTGCGCAAGAGCGGCCAAACAGGATGTGAGAACGGAGGGACAGATTAAACAACTACTGATAGATGGGCAGACAGACAGATGGATAGGCAGGAAGACAGGCAGTGAAATGGGGGAAGAGGGGGTAGACGGAGAGGTAGAAGGACGGGAAGTGAATTTAAATTGGTAGTTCACTTACATCAGATTCGCCAACTCTTCAATTATTCGGCAGAGCGTCACACTTGACAAGTGACCTGTCTATGTCACCGCGATCCATAAACAAATGCTGGTTGAGGGGATTACGAACGGAGAAGTAATCAGGAATGAATAATTGAAGTGAGGATGCCAAGCCGCCACCTGCACCTTCGACCGTCAATTGCACGATGGCAAGTGGATTGTTTACAAAATGCCAGGGAACAAGCAGCGGCAAAGTCAAAAGTTCACCCGAGTACTGGGTGATAGTCCCACCTTCCTTGCTCTACATTATCGTGAATAAACACTTCTGTTGCTATAGCTCTTTACCTATGTCCCTATCATTTAATCAATTGCATGGAGGCATCCTTCCGTTGACAAACGTCAGTTTGGCATTCTGGCTTACAAGGCTGGGGTGCAGTATTCAAGATAAACGGTACTGGAAGCTCATTCAACCAAGGAGACACATCAAAGTATCAAGGTTTGAAATCGTCATAGCACAATGTTTGCCTCAATTCCATTGCGATATCTCTACGACTGCGTGTTCTAGCTCTCGATGGGTTCATTTTGTTCTATGACAAGTAGTAACAAGGACGAAAGGAAAGATTCCTACCTTCATTGAGCAGCCTCCTAAATTCAGTTTAAAGTCACCATTTTGGATGTAGAATGCACGACAACATCGACTCTGACGGTGCAAACCAACCATGCAGCTCCTTTTCAGTATAAATAACCAAGACTGTTGTATCAATGACCACTTCACTCACCTTCTGCCCCAACGATTGGCACAGACCCTAAGGTCATGCCTCAACACGAAATGTTCGAGACTTGGAGGTTACAATAATGATAAAATCCTCCTTCCTTTGCAGTATCTGCCAGACCATTCGATTTGCATTCGCGCCATTCCTGGCGCCCATTCTGATCGCACAGACGGTCATGGAATTCTTTCTCCGTATTCACGGTAAAGTAAATCAGCACAGGCCAGCCTGACTTCATTGAGGAAAGAAAAAACATAAGACAATTAACCTGGATCATCAAGGAGGTAAGCAGCCTGCAAAGAACGTCAATAGTTCCATGATCATAGGCTCAGATTTTGCAAATTGCAGTAAAATAAACGAGTATTTAGCTGTTATCATTAACAGTGAATTATGGCTACTTTGAAAATGGAGTAGGGGATGGTGGGAGAACAGTAATAGCTTGGATATTTAAGACAGTTGCTTTTGTAAAATAGACGTTACTTTAGGCACTGCCGGCGAGAGCTGCTCAAATTCCACGTCTAGAGGGAATCGGTGACAAAAATCAGCTTAACAAGATGGATGCCTCAGAGCACATTGGCAGCCGTTCCTTATGTTAAGCTGTGAAAAGATTTTTACAGCCAAGAATAAATTTCAGACAACATCGGAGGCTGGCCGTCAAAAATTTCTTCAATTTCGCCATTAATATAACCGCCTTGCTTGCATAAACTGTAAATTGTTGTAATAGCAGCGCGGATTATCAAACGAGATATAGGGAAAGCAGTGAGTCTTGCGAGTGACGTCTGAGGTTACATGAAATAGTTCTCTAGACGGTTTCAGCACAGGTTCATTCCATCTTCCTCGCACAAATTTAGGCAGCTAGATTATGGGCTACGTGAATGCAACCCTTGGAGACACGTTGTAGCTCAGTCGCTGGCTAATATTTAGAGCTTGCTCATTTCGAGGTCATAGAAGTTTGACATTTAAATCACTCTAACTAGTAAGTGTTGTCTCGAGTCACTTTGATCGTGATGTTAATTCATCTTTCTTGTGGTATCCGAGGTTAAGTGATATAAGTAAGGGTGCGTTGCCTGCACATCATCCGTAGAAATCATCCCGGAATCCAGCTATCTGCAGTTGTTGGATTCCTTTGCTTAAAAAATTAGATAATGCGCTGGGGTTATTGAATAGTAGCTAATCTATCTGCAATACGCTTCCTCCATCCACTTTTCGCTTTCTAATTCAATCAAAATGCTTTGCTGAGTTGTTCCGGTTGATGCGGAAGGTCAGAGCAATATGGCCGTTGAAAATTGTAAAGCGGTGGCTGTGGTTACAGTCATGGATATGGGGATGGCTATCGTTGTAACCAAGCATCGTAGCGGCATTCACAAACCTAGACAAGTTCAAGCCAGTGTTGGAGGAGTCAAAACCGAAAGTGGAGCCGTGTAGACTAAGGGGCATGAGTGCTTAATGTTGTAGAATTAAACAAGCGTCAAATCAACACATAATCCCATTTCAATGCCTTCATTGTGCACTCTGGTGCCAAAAATTTAGCCAAAATGGAAAGGCACAAGTGCAAATAAATTCTGGTACTAAATCCGTAGACTAAGCAACACGCGAATTCCACTTTACAAGGCGGTTAAATTGGGTTGGCATGTTAACCAATTAACAGCGGTCCTTGAGGATGCGTTTTCAGTGCTCAGTCACCCAGCAACTACCATCCAGACTCCTTGCAGTATCAGTACGGTCCAGATTTGCAGAATTGCTTTGGAATAATTCAAGAGTTAGATAGTCAAGGGCGTTAAAAGTGGAACAAGGCTTCTGAAGCACATCCAACAATGCATTATAGCCAGTGTTTGATTTAATAAGCTGTACTCTTATTTAAACGCAAAGGCAAACACAATGTCACATTCTAAATGCCGCATTTCTTTCTGGAAAAATAATGGCATTAAACGATGCCTAAACAAGCGAGATGGCAAACTTGGATTAACAACAACGATGAGCGACCATTTCAAACCATGCTTAACTTCATACTGAATGCTTACTTTCAACACTATTCAATTCAACCCACTAATAATGACTAATTTTGCCAAGTGGAGGCATATTATACAGTCCTTATGCATGAGAAATTAATGTTTAGCAGGTGAAAACACTTGACAAAAGAACATTTTTGGCTATGACTTGGGGCGGTAGACCGAAAAATTGGTTCGGGTGTTTGGGGTAGATGTATTCCATAGTGTCCAAATGACATTCGGGTCAACAAATAAACGGGTAAAATGGGAAAGACTGATCTGCCGGAGTAATCCTTGGGGTGAAGCAGAACTTGCGTGATTGGTAGGCTTCTGCAAACTTCTGCATATTGCAAAGAGAATACCCACGAACAAAAATGGGCTTAAGTCATGATATTGAACTGCTCATGGCAATAACAACATTTTAATCATCAAAATAAGCAAAATGACAAGCTCTACATAATTTTGGCTTCAATTTCTAACTCATTGTAAAATGAGTAGGAAAAAAGAGCGTCATTTGCCTTGTTTTAGAACATGAACAATTGAATTAGAGCTCCTTACTTATGTCAACGTTCATCATAGCCACTTCAGGCTGTGTGCAATGCATATTAAATACTGCCCAAACGTCTATGCCTTGGAGGGAAACATAAGTTGCACCTTTCAGTAGCCTCAAACATGACCTAAATAGCCCTTCTATGTGTTTGCTGATCTCCAGTCCACAATAAACGGTAAGAGGAAAGAAGACGAACTCACTGGAAAATCCCGCATCGTTGATGCATTCAACTTGGTCGATTGATCCGATGGCTGGTTGGTGGTTGATTATAGTACCCATATCTCGTCTTAGAATTGCTAGACTTGTTAATCGTCAAGTGGTTTGGTTCTAAGTGCGTCCCCTGAAATCCGGTTTTGGCTTGCCCACTTAGCGTACAAGAATGAAACACATGTGGACGCTGCTGGGACTTCTATCTCCAGACTGTCCATTAGTGAAATCCCAATCCGCCTCAACCCAAAAATTCGTGTCGAATTCTCCTAGAGAGGCGCGGTATAAGGTGTGCAAGATCGGCTGTTAGATGCGTTTGCTTCTCACCTACCGCCGCACTTACTTTGCCGCCAAAGGAGTCGTGTCCGGCAATTCTTTCTCACTCGAGATTTGACATGCTGACCCTCGAAGAACGTGCTCATCTCGAGGTTGTAGAATTTTGATATTTAAATCGCTTTAGTTAACAAGTGCTGTCTCAAGTCACCGCCATCGTGGACTCAATTCGTGTTTCTTGTGGTATGCGAGGTTAAAGGATGTAAATAAGGGCGCGTTGCCTCTACATCATCCGCAGAGTCTATCCTAGAATCAAGCCATCTGCTGAGGATAGATTCCTTCTGTCAAATAAAATTTGCTAATGTGCTAGGGTTATTGAATAATAGTTAATCTATGTGCAATAAGCTTGCTCCTTCCACTTTCCGCTTTTTATTTCAATTAATGTGCTTTGCTGAGTAGTTCCGGTTAATATGGAAGGCGATTTCACCTCGACTCATTATAAGTGTGAAGCTGTGTTTGTGGTTATGGTTATGTGTTGTGGGTATGGCTACAGTTGCAACCAAATATCTTAGCTGAATTCAAAAGCCTAGAAAAGCCCAAGCCAGTGTTGAAGTCAAAACCGAAAGTGCAGCCGCGTAGACCAAGGAACACGAGTGCTTCATTATGTAGAATTAAACAAGTGCCAAATCAGCGCATATTCCCACCTCAGTGCCTTCATTATGCACTCTGGTGCCAGACATTTAACCAAGGTGGAAAAGTGCAAAGCAAGAAGATTCTGGTGCCAGATCTCAACTGAATGAAATGTTGGGACAAATGACACATCGACACCGTAGACCAAGCAGCACGCTACACTCGCCATCGACATTAAACCAGTATCTCGCCAGTCAAACTCCATTAGAAACGGTTCGGTTCATTCTGGCAGTTTGTGCCCTCTTTATCCTTAATGGCCTCTCCCGTCTCCGCTCCATGCAAGTCAAAAGACCAATGCATAGGGAAGAGATGGAATTCATAGAAACTAGGTGCAAGCGATGCCACCTCTTCCCTTGTTTTTAGGTTAATTTCTCTACTGCTTTTCATTCTCCCGTTCTTTGTTTGCTCGCGTCATCTCAACTACTATTTTAGATGGTGGTGTTTTAAATGGGCATGCCAAGGGAGGTCTGTGGGCTCACAGCAAGAGCTCCAGCTACATGTTCATTCCCATGCGTAGTTATTCTAACTCTCCCTAATTCTTGCGTGCAGCTGCCTCATGGGAAGAGAAGTAGATAAATGAATGGTTGAGTAGATGAACGGACGAAAGAAGTAACCAAATCAAGAATGCAGCACATTATCAAACAACAGTTCTGGACTAACACACTCGGTGCACAGGCATCAAAGATTAATATCGGTTTACTCTCGTACATTCCTTTTCCTATTTTCCTCTGCTTTTTGAATCATTTCATTATCCTCATCCACCACTTGTTCTTTTTTAGGTGAGAAATTAATCATCTCCGCCTAAACGGAGAGATAGGGTCACCTGTACTCTCCTCCCTAGTAAGGGGCAAGGAGTTACACAAGCACGGGATTAGGATAATTTACCATGAACTAGCATTTGCCAATTTCATAGCAACATGTAGGGGTGAGTCGCCGATTTCTATTCCTCATTCATTACTCGATAACTTTATGCCTCTTTGTAATGCATTTTGCAAACGATAAATCAACAGCAGACGTACTGAATCACAATTCCCTGCTCAGTATTATTGGCCCGTTGCAAAAGCACAGAAGTAAACTAAGCTGAGCTCGTTTAGGCTTGGCCAGGCTAGACTAGATCCTGCTACTTGCTCTATTATTTATGCTTTATAGCTACTTTCATGCCCCAGCATTCAAGTACTGGTTCATTTACCACTGTAAATCGTCTAGAAAGACGCTGAAGTCAAATGGGGCTTTTCTATTTTGT